AGCCATTATAAACTAGGCATTTGTTGCATCCAGTGGGGACATAATTACGGATTATAATTAGAGCCCGACCAATATATCGTTTTGCCGATATTATTGGCCGATGTGAGCCTGTCGCCGATATATCGGTATCGGCGAAAAAAAATTTACTAGCCAATGGCGATTATATTGCCAAGGTGTGCGTAGAGGGTTGCTATAACCAGTAAATGGCAGCAGAGGGGCACTTATTGGCTTAGTCATTAATTTCTACTTTTTGCTTTTATTTTGAAATTATAAAATCATTATTATAAATCACCACTATAACCAGTAGATGGCAGCAGAGGAGCTCTTATTGGCTTATTAGTCATTAATTTCTACTTTTTGCTTTATATTTTGAAATGATAAAATCACTATTATAAAATATCAAATCATCAAAAAAAATCACATTTTGTCAGAGTTTTGCACTTTTTGTGTATGAAATAATAAAAGTCACCAAGTGCCTTGAAAAACAAACTTTTTTTCAATTTGTGACTGAATCACACATAAAGAGTATTCCTTTTATAATCACTGAAGTTATCACTCAGCTCCATATAATACCATAGAAGAATAATGGTACATTTAATAAGAGTAGAATGTTCATTTTCTATATAAAACTTAGATTTTGCACATGTTACTGTTGTTAATAAAAGTAAGTTTTGTGTGCTTCCCAACTCAAGCTCAATGCTTTACTGTCAAATGTGCATTACCAAGAAATAAACGTGTAATATTATTAGTAACCGCAATTATTAATGCAAAACAATAGTAATTTTATGATTAAATTGTCTTTATTTTAAATACCCCACACACACCACCCCCCAGCGCTACCAAATCTGCTCGCGGCACCACTTCTACTATCTGTAGAACTTAGTGGCACTGGTGCCACTGCTCTCAAATAGGGCTGGGTAAGAAATATCGATATCTCCATATTAATCGATTCTCATTTTTTACGGAACGATATCGATTCTTAAATCCCAAGAATCGATTAGTCTAGCCTGTTTTCAGTTAATGGACGGAACATTGAAGGGCACTTCCCATCCAATATATCGCAATAAGCATTGTGCTTTGGTACTTTTAATATGAAACAAAGTCTCAGATTTCAAGTTCTGTCCATTGTATTGCAGTATTCAAACAATAAATGTTGTTTAATGTGGAGTAACAGACGCGGCAGCGCGTAGCACACGTGAACTGATCATCTCCTTCACATTAATTCCAGTTTCAGCACAAAATAAACATGACTAAACATCCGAAGGTAAGTTAAAAGAAAGAGTACAAATTTACAATCCGTATCCTGTCTCGTGTAATCTTTCAATCAGTGTTTCAGCCGTGCAAAGACCTCAATATAACGGCTTGTAAACAATGTCACAGTTATAGCACAAAATAAACATGACTAAACATCTGAAGGTAAGTTAAAAGAAAGAGTACAACTTTACAATCCATATCCTGTCTCATGTAATCTCTCAATCAGTGTTTCCTCCGTGCGAAGACGTCAATATAACGGCTTGTAAACAATGTCACGTAACGTCACATTTACCTCAGAAAAACATATTCCGTGACCATAAACACATTAGTCAGATAGAAAAATAAACTGTAGAGAGGGGCATGTTACTAAATATATGCACCATATAACATTTTCCTTATAATTTTTACTGTTCTTCAATGTTTAATTTATGTTTGAATAAATCCATCAAGTTTTATGACAGCCACCATTTAAATGTTTATAGCCTATAACAAAAACGAATTGAAGTAGAAATATTATTATGTAATTATAACTATTATTTTAAAAATAATTTTTTTGTAGCAGTTGTGTAGCCTACAAATCAGTTTTAACCTTCAATATTATAGTAATGTAGTACTAACTGACTCATGTATATTTTACAGCATTAGTTGAGATTGTTTTTCCTTGAGAAAATTTGGCATGTAGCCTACTGTACCTGATATATATCCAAAATAATCCATATTGTGGCATGTACTGTACCTGATATGTATCGAAAATAATAGCTATTGAATCGAATCGAATTGGTAATTGAATCGCAAGCTTGTGAATGAGAATCGAATCGAATCGTGAAATTTGTGTCAAAACCCAGCCCTACTCTCAAATGTTAGTCTGGAGCCCTGGACACCATTTTTGACGATAACGTTGTATTAAATCAGAAAAAAAAGACTCAAAACATAAATAAATAAAATAAAATTGAAAACACCATACATTAAAATGCATCTTACTCTGTAGACATTAATTAGGAAAGGAAAGCATTTCATTCCCCATCAATTGCAAAAGAATATCATGATAAATATTGATAGCGTATGATATGGAAAAAAGTTACATACATATACATGATATACATCATCTGACTTAACTTATTTATGATGTTTGATCAAACGGTGATTTAATAAATCAAACAAATACTAATATTTTGAAAACACCATACATTAAAATGCATCTTACTCTGTAGACATTAATTAGGAAAGGAAAGCATTTCATTCCCCATCAATTGCAAAAGAATATCATGATAAATATTGATAGCGTATGATATGGAAAAAAGTTACATACATATACATGATATACATCATCTGACTTAACTTATTTTATTTTATCTTATATTTAATCAATCAAACAAATACTAATATTACAAATAATACAAACTACTACTAATAATAATAATTAAAGAGAGATAGATTTAACAAATGTATTTTTGTTTTGTATTTTAACACTTAACATTTATTTTAACATTTACATTTTTTATGTTTTATTAACTAATTTACTAAATGTATTTCATTCGAACAGTGGTTTAATACCATTTTATTTGTTGCTTTATTAAAGATTGACTTAAAAACATTTTTAAAGCTGATACATTTAAGACATTTTATATAAAAGCTGATAACCTATATGAAAATGGTGATTTAATAAATCAAACAGGCCTTATTCGTTACTCCTGGATTATTATTATTATTACTTATATCATAACACTGGGGTTAACAGATTAAAGCATGACTTTATAAATAGTAGATGTCTGTCTCTCTCTGTTGATCTGTTTATCCGTCGTTCACTCAATCACATTCACACATTCATCGCGCCATATACGCCATAAACTCCGCGTTACACAGCGCGCTCATTGTGCATAATAAAACATGTACTCACCATTAATGAAATCCTCTCATGAATGTCGATCTGCGTCGATATTTCTGAAATCCTCCGACAGCTCTACACCTCCCCGTTACACGGCTAACGCTGCTACAGCTAGCCCACGCGACGCACCACGACACAGTGACGTAGGTAGGGTGGGTGCGAATGGCCAAAACGCCTTCTTTTTCTTTTTTTTTGCATATGAACATAGGCTATATAACAACAAGAGAATCACAACGTTGCATATAAATGCCATCAGTACACATGATTAAATAAAAGTCAAATAAAAAAATTAAAAAAATTCGCCAGTGGAATAAAGAGAGAGAGAGAAAAAAACGCAAATAATGAAGACGGTACAGTTTACTTGTCTATTTCAAATTTGCAGATAACATTAGAAGTCCTGAGAGCTTTTTTTTCATTTATATATACCATATTGCAGTATTGTTTAAATTCGTTGATAAAATGAAAAGAAAGTCGTATATGAATAATGAATATGAGTATATGAAACTTCCCCATTACAGCCAGTAATGGAATAATATACACTTTATCCTTTTCTATCCCATAATCATTAACATATATCATATCAGACCCACCCAGTTTAACAGCTGTATTAAGTTTTCTTGTAATGAAATTCTCGACATCAACCCAAAATATCTTTGTATAAATGCAATGAAAAAATGGTTTCCTTTTCATTACTACAAAATTAACAAGAACAGTCAATATTCATTTTAAAATGTTCCAATACATGTTTCACTGGATACATTCTATGCAATATTTTATACGAAACTTCCTTTACTTTGTTATTAACAAAGAATTTATCAACCATTCTCCAAGCCTCATGCCAATTTAAATCTCCAAATATTGATGAGCAGAAAAATCCAGCTGGAGGATATGTAACATCATTTACTACATTTCTAATGTATTTATTTGGTATGTTGTTTTTTAAAATAGTAATATTTCCAATAAAAATTTGATTAGTTATATAGTCCAGATTAGGGTTTTTACTGCATTAATTTAAATAATATATTTGTGGTTAGTCAGTTGATGACTAGTGATGGAGGCTTATTATCATACACAGAGTTTCTTGACAAATTTAAAATCCCAATTAGACCCAGAGAATATGCAACTGTGATGGATGCTATACCTAGTAAAGTATTATGTCTTCTTAAAAAAGGGATTTATGTTTATATAAAATGTCTCTGTTATTCCAGATATAATATCTTCTAGGAGAAAATGTATGTTTGTAGGCCAATGTCCAAGCCATGAGAGCTTGTTGATGAAATCTGGCAAGTTTTACTGGAAATTTGTCAATACAATAATTACAGTTCAACACAAATTCAAGACCACAGACTGACATGTGTTCCACATGTTTTCTTTCTTTTTTAAATACGGTGTAATCCAATTAATTTTAAATACTAAATAAATATTGTTTAGGGTATCATAATTAAATACCTCCAGGGGCCCGTTCTTCGTACGTGGCTAACTCAGTCAGCTGGATGTGATTGTTGATGATTTGGCATGATCTTGGATTGTTTGGTTCTTCGAAGCTCATCCCGGAGTTGCTGTCAGAACAACAGCTCCGTAAACCTAAACCTGCTCAGGAGCAGCTTATTTCATGTAAACAGGATTAGATTGCATCTTTTTAAGTGGAACTGATATTTAAAATCTATCCCAGCCACTGCTACTCTATTACAAGTGTACCCTACTAATCAATCATTCAAAATAATAATAATTAAAAAATGTATTTGAAAATAATATTATAATGTGTAATCTATAATACTATAGACACAGCCAGTTTTACTCATTGTATTAGAGTCTTACACACATACAGTTAATCCTGCAAGAGTCCTGCATTAATTTGAGGGCTGACAGATATTATGGGAGTGGCTTGATGGAGCGCAGGAGATGCAGATAACATGATCTTGACCCTTAAGAAACTTTAATTAATGCTGTCACCTAACAAATCTGCTTCAAAGATAAAATTACATGAATTGCTAATTACAACATTGAACTAAATGTAAAGCCTGTACAAATACAAGTAATCGTGAATATAAATAATTGGGAATTATGTAAAAATATAAAATAAATGAAATAAAAACGGTGCACATTTCATTTATCTATTATTACATTTATGTAGTTTTGTTCGCTTGGCTGTTTCCTTATAAAAGTCCAGAAATTTGTCAAGTTTTTCGTCAGGTGTCTTTTTTAATTATATGATGTCATCACGTTGCTGTCTTGCCGCAGCCAATCACTGCACTGCTGAGCGTGGTCTCGAGTATCGATACATCTGCCCTTTAGGGGGAACACGAGAACACGCGCTAATCTTAGACAACTTAATCCAGATATTTTCATCAAATCCGCAAATCCGTTTGAAGAACCAAATTAGCCAGAGATCAGTTATCAGGATTACTAGATCTGGAATCTTTCAAATCATCTCAGATGTATTAAGCGAGGAACGAAGAACGGGCCCCGGGCCCCCATTGTCCTTTAAATTGCCACATATAATGTGGTTTTCTTTTCCAAATAAAGTCGAAAAGTAATTTGTCCAACGTTTTAACTACTTTAGAAGGTATATTATGAAGGTAAAATAATGCCTAAAACATTTGCATATGCAGGGTAAGAGTTGTGGAAGTGTACATAAGACTGTAAGAGTAAATTAAATTTGCATGCACAACAGAAGCTTTGTAAAGGTGTAAATCGCGTTTCAAGCGTAAGAAACAATGATTTGCAGCATTTTACTGTTACTGGTAAGTGTAATTCATGTATTGTGAAACTGCAGCTTTATGCTAACGCAAAATAAATATGATCTGCATGCTTCTGACTTCCATTTTTCCGCGCTTACACTTTTGGCACGTTTGTTTCGCCAAAATTCGGTCAAAAGCACTGCAAACCTGTGAACAGTGATGTGCAAGCGAAAACAACAGTTTAAAGAACTGCAAAACGGATTGACTGCATAGAACCAATCTGTATGTGTACAAAAACTAACTGTTGCAAATGTCTAAATGACTTGTTGTGTATGTGGGGCAAAAAGAATCCGTGTATCATTCGATCATTCGTTTTTTGATTTAATATTGAAAGTAGAAAAACGAGAAAACGGCTCCTTTTTCGTATTTTCGTTTTTTTCCAAAACACGAAAAACGAGAATTCAGCTTAAATTTTCGTTTTTCGTTCATGGGTGGAAAAATGAATAAACAGCTTGAATATTCGATTTCTACATGTGGGCGGGAATTAAACGCCCCTTTCTGCTGATTGGTCAGCCGAAGATCAAACCGTGC